AAAGCAACCTGTACCATCTCCCCATGAAAGACATGCTGTCCCATCTATCAAAGGGTAAAATATTCACAAAACTGGACCTAAGGGAAGCCTACTATCACATTAGGATTAAAGAGGGGGACGAGTGGAAGACCACGTTCAACTACTCTATGTGATGCTACCAATTTAAGGTCTTGCCGTTTGGGCTGCAGGGAGCCCCCACGGTCTTCATGCAGCTGATCAATGATGTACTGAGGGAGCACCAGTACAAGGGGGTCCTTGTCTACCTAGACGATATCCTTATATTTATGGACACTAAGGAGGAGCACGTAAAATTAGAGCAGTTTTGAAAAAACTGAGAGCTGCCAACCTCTACGCAAAGCTGTCAAAGTGCGAGTTTCACAAACAGAGAATTGACTATCTGGGCTACTGCATATCAACCAAAGGCATAGAGATGGACCCCGAAAAGGTCCGGGCAGTGCTAGAGTGGGCACCACCCCGCACAAGAAAGCAGCTACAAAGCTTCCTGGGGTTCGCTAACTTCTACCGCCAGTTCATCCCTTCCTTTGCCCAGATAGCCCTGCCTATCACAAACTTATTAAAGACAAAAGGGGGAGGCTCAGTAAAACCTAGTCAGCCACTAACCTGGACGATGGAATGTCAAGCCGCATTTGAGAGACTAAAAAGGCTTTTTTCGGCTGAACCGGTCTTAAAACACCCCGACCCAGATAAGCTGTTCGTAATCCAAGCTGATGCAAGTGATGTAGCAGTAGGAGCAGTATTACTACAGGAAAATGACAAGGGGCACTTGCAACCCTGTGCCTACACATCCAGAAAACTCTCTGACATGGAGCAATGTTGGGCGGTGTGGGAAAAGGAGGCATACGTTGTGAGATGGGCACTCCTCACCTGGCGGCACTTTCTGGAAGGGAATAAAATCCCTTTCCAGGTCTGGATGGATCATAAGAACTTGGAGGCCCTAAAAATGCCCAGAAAGCTCACCCCCAAACAAGACCAGTGGTCACAACACTTCCACTGGTTCACGTACACAATCAAACACCAGGGGGGAGGAATTTCCTGGCAGACGCCCTATCCTGCATGCCCCAGTACAACAGCTCCTGGCCAACCATCTCCAAACTGCTCATGCCAGAAGCGCAGCTGGCAGCGCAAGTAACCACAAGAGCCCAAGCAAAACTAAAGCAGCCAAGCAGGGATCAAATTCAGGAAGGCTCTAGAAACCGATGAATGGTTCCAGAGCCCCAAAAACTTATGCACTATCACTGACAGCTTTCCGTGGGTGGGGGAGAAACTGTACATCCCAAAGACCCAAAGGATTATGTTTATGCAACTTTGCCATGACACAAAACCAGCAGGTCACTTTGGATTCGTGAAAATGCTGCATCTAGTAAAAAGACAGTTCTGGTGGCCATCTATGAAAAAGGACATTGAGAGCTATGTGACCAGCTGTCCAACCTGCGCAGCTGCTAAGAGAGTGCAAGGAAAAGCTCCCGGACTGCTACAGCCAGTGGCAAACCCCTCAGCCCCCTGGAAGGAAATCTCCATGGACTTCATAGTAGAGCTACCAGAAAGTAATGGAAACACAGCAATCTGGGTGGTCACGGACTTATTCTCAAAACAAGTACACTTCATCCCCTGTCTAAAAATCCCCACCGCTAAAGCCTTAGCAAAATTGTTTTTCCAGCATATATATAGACTGCATGGAACACCCCAATGCAGAATATTGGACAGAGGGGTGCAATTCACATTGGACTTTTGGAAAGAGTTCCTATCCCTTCTGGGGACAATCCAGGGGCTGTCATTTAGTCATCATCCTCAGAAGAATGGGGGGACGGAACGTTCGAACTAAGTACTTGAACAATAGCTAAGATGGTTTATTAATTTCCAACAGATGAACTGAACCGACCTACTCCCTTTCGCAGAAGTGGCATACAACAATGCAGTACATTCCAGCATGGGCTATACCCCATTCCAAGAAGCTACAGGGCAAACTTTCAACACCATGCCAGAACTAAGTGCCACCGAACCGGCCATTCCCTCCTTGAAGGAGTGGATCGCACAATTAAAAAACACCTGGCCAGTAGTTAGAAAAGCGCTAGATGAAGCTAGACAGGCCTATAAAGCACAAGCAGATAAGAAAAGAGTCGAACCAAAACCATTCCTTGTAGGGGAAATGGTCTACCTATCCACAAAATACCTAAAATCCCTGCAGCCATCCAAGAAACTAGGACCGAAATACGTGGGATCATTCACCATCAAAAGAATCATAAACCCAGTAACAGTAAAGTTAGAATTACCAAAAAACCTCAGGCAGATTCACCCTATCGTCCACTGCAGTCTGCTAAAATGAAAACAGCGATCACCGTTATGACCAGCCATCACCCGAATGCCTCCTCCTATTATGGTTGAGGGGGAGCAGCATTTTGAAATAAAAGAAATCCTTGACTCCCGAAAATACCATGGAGCGACTCAATACCTAGCAACGTGGAAGCACCTTCCCTCTTCCCAAAATGAATGGGTGCACAAATGTCACATTAGAGCCCCCAACCTATTAAGAAAGTTTCACACAGACTACACTAACAAACCAGACTAACCTCTCATTATTTGTTTTGTCTCTCAATAGATTGATCTCTCATATTTTTAAGGGGGCAGGATGTCAGAACCCATATCTATCTGATTTCATACTTCCCTTGCTCTTCTTCTCTGACCCAAATTCCATTCTCTTCTCTCCCTGGGTTCTGCCATACTCCTAGAGGGGAGGGGGAAGGATCGCGGGCTTATTGCCTTAGCTTCCTCTGTCACTACAATGTAACACTTCGCTTTCCTGCACTATTTCTCTCTGTACTTTCTTCTCCCTAAACTGTCAGCTAGCAAAGGGGGAGGAAGAAAGGAATGCAACCTCCGGCAACTGGCTTATCTCTCCACTCTCAAGAGAAGTGCGAAGAGTCATCTAAACATCGCTGCAGCAACCAGAGCCGACCCGATGTTATCTCCCTTTTCCCACGATGGACTTAACACCTGTGGATTGGCTGGTTTGAACCGTCTGGATGAACTTTGGGGTGGGGTTTGCTTGGGGACACTTAACCTATCGATCTACATGGGAAACCCTCAGAGCCTGTCTAGTATGCCTGCTATCAGCTTCTCCTAATAAAAGCTCCTTTTGGAAGAGCTGCTTCGACGAGTTCTGCTTTCTTGGGATCAGGTATTGAAGCGGTCCTGACAATGCCATTCAAATCAATACTTCTTTGATTCACACACCTGTCTTAACTTAAGCATCCATATCTAGCTGTAATTTATCCTTTTGGGTAGAAAGAATGGCAAAAGAAGGAGGAAGGGGAGCTACAACTAATAAACTTCATGCAATGGGAAAAAAGCAAAGGGACATACTGCCAAAATCTTATTATACCTGATAGACAGTAAAGTCTTTGATGGAAAACTTCTCAGGATGCCAATGGAATTGCTCTACCCTGGTTGTAGGGGAGGAAAGGTGTCCCAGACACATATCTCATAGTGCTATATGTCAGGCTTTTCAACATTTTCACAGATTGTACCACTTTTAGGACATGACAATATTTAAGTACCACCAGTGCTTAGCAAGGTGTCAAAAACTTGATGACTAAAAAGGGGGGGATTTGGGGTTTTACTGATTAGATTCATTTGTTGTTATAGAAATGGCTAGTTTATAATATTATGGAAAAATAAAAAGTTGAGGTTCAATGTTAATGCTTCCTTCTATTGCAACAGAGGAAGTCTGTTCTTTTTCCCTTCTCCTCCTCACTTTTTCTCCCTTTTTCCTCCCCACTGTGTCCTACTATTTGCTTTGTATTTTTGTATTTTATTCTATAATCTAATAAAATATTACAAACTGTAGAAAAAAAATAAAAAGTACCAGTTTTAATTTCTTCGGTGGCTGTTCCTTTGCTGAATCATTTTCACTTTGCACTGACAAATATATGATGAATTTATCCATGTTTATTAATATGTACCACTACCAGCTAGTTCAGGGGTCTTTAAACTTGGCACTTTTAAGACTTGTGGACTTCAACTCCCATAATTCCTCAGCCCTCATGGCTGGTTGAGGAATTCTGGGAGTTGAAGTCCACAGGTCTTAAAGTTTCTAAGTTTGTAGACTCCTAAGCTAGCTGGTAGACCCTTCTTCCTCTCTCCCTTCTGAGCTTTTCCCTGTACCCTTAAAGACACAGGAATCAAGTGCAAAGCAAGAAACATAAACTCCAGGTTTTTTTTTTCTTTAAGCTGCCTCAGGCATGTCACGTGTCACAATGTTACAATTCTAGACTGAAAGGCTCCCGCAATTGTGAAAAGCTTTAGCTTTAAATTAAGTCTGTTTACCTTCAAAGAAAACTTTCTAAAAGCCATAGACAGACTCAATTAAAGAGGGTAAAACTAATTGCATTTGTTTAAAGGGATTAAACCTTTCCTGTTGTCTTGTTTTCCCTTCCCCCACCCAAACCACCTCCTTTTATAGCCTCTCCTCTCTTCACCCCCCCTTTTTCTTCGGTTCACCTCCAGCTCCGAGCTGCTTCCGGAAGCACCAATCAGCTGGAGCCAATCAGCTGGAGCCCTGCCGGCTCCTGGGGCTTCTGCCAATCCCAGACAGTCATGCAGCTGCAGCTGCCTCTCCCTTAGGCTTGGCTCACTTCGGCTCATTTCCCTCCCCTGCTACACTTGGCTAGCAATCATGTACCAGCTGCCATGTGGCAAAGTACCACAGGTAGTATGCATACCACCGGTTGAAAAGCCCTACTATATGTATCCAATTGCTTCATCCTGCTTCACAGAAAGCTCCAGCATATATAGATTGGGTTGCCAGAGTGTATGCATGCTTATCTGATGTTGTGTCAATAGTGAGTGATGTTAATAAGTATATAGTGAACATTTTGTGAGCTAAGCACAAAGTCTTTATTTCAGTCACTGAAAAGATCCATGCTTCTTTTTTAATCTTCAGAAAATAGCTCAATTTTTGTTTTTGTTTCTCCTGTCTATAGGCCCTATAAGCAGTATTTTGGTGAACAAATATGGCAGTAGGCCAATCATGATTGCTGGGGGGATACTGGCTTCATTTGGAATGATTGCCTCTTCGTTCTGCAACAGCGTCTTGCAACTTTACCTATGTGTCGGTGTAATTGGAGGTAATATAACAATATCATTTTATTTGTTTCTCCTGATATTCTTCTTCAGCATTCACCTTTGGATTCTGTATCTAATTGATTGATTAGATCATTCCTTCCTTCATGTTAGGATGTTGCAAGGTTTGCATAATTCTTTCAGCAATGCTTTGCAATTACAAGAGAATAATTGATTGGTTCCTGGCAATATTTATCATAATCATTGACTTTCAATTTTATACAGGTTCTTTTAGCTTCTCATTATTCTACCCTATAGGTCAGGGCTTTTCAACCAGTGGTACGGGTACCACCTGTGGTACATTGACACCTGGCAGGTGGTACGCGACCATCCTAGAAAAGTAGTGGGGGAGGGGAATGAGCTGAACCGGAGGCAGCACCGCACAAGCCTGAGCGAGAGATGGCTGAAGCTGCAGGGCTGTCAGGGTTCAGCGGAAGCACCAGGATCAGTACCGTTTCCAGCTGATCGGCGCTTCTTCGGGGCTGTCAGGGCTCAGTGGAAGCACCAGGATCAGGGCCAGGCTCCAGCTGGAGCTCGGTGCTGATCCTGGCACTTCTGCTGAGCCCAGAAGAAGCGCCGATCAGCTGGAATGTTGCAGCATCTTCTGGGTCTTGTGATTTACATTCAGATGCTTGGCAACTGATTCATATTTATGACGGTCACAGTGTCCCAGGGTCATGTGAAGTGACCAACACCTGCTGCAACCACCCAGCAGATGGGTGGAATAAAAACCAAACACCCCCCCACCCCACCTCCACTGCCAATCCCCAACAGAAATGCTCACAACAATGAAAGCCTTGAACAGGAGGAAGAGCGCTGCTGGGTTGGCAGGCAGGTGTCTTGCTCGGCTGTGGCTTGGGGGGCACTTTTTTCAGTGCCATTGTAACTTCGAACAGTCATTAAGCGAACTGTTGTAAGTCGAGGACAACCTGTACTTTTATCACTTTTTTCCTTTTTTTTTTTTTTGGTCAAGTTTTTGACACCTTGCTAGGCAACTGGTGGTACTCAGATATTGCCATATCCTAAAAGTGGTACAATGGGTGAAAAGGTTGAAAAGCCCTGCTATAGGTATCCTTATAAAGAATTCACAGTTTGGAGAACATGCCAAAAACCCATTTTCTTTACCAAGTTATAAGTTTATTCTAAAAGTGGCCTATTGGGGCATCTGATGAATAGGCAGTTCTAACTAAAAGGTTTGAAGCAGACTTAAATGGAATGAAACAATGTACTAAAACCCAAATATAACATATAATATATGGTCCCTCTTAATAAAATTTCCTTTTCACTGAATTCTCAAAGTTAAAGCATTGATAGCTTTATAAATATATTCAAAACATTTTTTTTTGTTGATCAGCTACTTTCTGGAAAGTTGCAACAACTTTACCAAACATACTTATGCAATAGTCACTGGTTCACACATGATGATTGTTTGTCCATGATTGATAATTTATATATACTGTATATATGACATTATAGTTACAATTTTTGTGTCACTTCAAATACACAGTTTGGGCAAGTTGGATCATAACCAGCTCCAAGATTCAGCTTAAACTAATTGCCTTTTTAAGGAATTTTTGCAGCACACTCACCTGTTTAGCCTGTGTATACCAACTTCAGCCATAGTGACTTGGTTGTCTGAAACCCAGTGGTGGGATTCAGCCAGTTTGCACCACTTCGGCAGAACCGATAGCTAATTTTTTGTTGCCCAGGCCCAGAATGGACTTCCGGAAGTGGCATCCACACAGAGAACTGGTTGTTCACATATTTGAATCCTACCACTGCTGAAATCCCATAGGAGGAATACAAATTAAGTCAATGCAGAACACGTTTTAGGATACCTTTCTATCCAAAGAAAGATCTATAACAAGTCTGATGAAAATTTGAATTATGATTATGACAATTAAAATTGAAAAATAAAGTTGACAGGAAATGATAGGGCATATTATTAACATATAACTAAAGCAAAACAAAGCAAAATTTGTTTCATTATCACAAACTCACTATCTTATATAAGTTATATATTTTTTCATAAAAAAAACTTCTTTAATAATAGAGGGGGTAGAATAGGGAAAAATAGGCTCCCTGATGTTTTTATATCTAATGCTATATAATGATATGTGGGGTGAATGGACTGTTTGCATGCTTGGGCCAGTCCCTTCTACTCTACTTGCAGAGATCCTTGTATCTGCATAGAGAAAACTAGTGTGTATTTCCAGACTTCATGGTGAAAACATTTGAAGCTTATTTTATGTGTTCCTATTCAAACCTAAGCAATGGATAAAGCTAAAAGCAGAGGATTTAGACTTCTAAAATCTGCCCTTTTTATAGAAAAGTGACATTTAATAACTTCTATGCAATGAACCAAGGGCAAATTGGATTGTAGCATAGTAAAATATACAAACAATGTCTTCAAGGTCTTGTTATCATCGTTCCCCTGTTATTTTGTTGTCTGCAACTTGGATTGGCCATTGCTAAAGCTTTTGCTTTTATTGCATCTCCATAGAAGAAAATGAGTGAAATCTACTGTGTCATATTGGTGACATTAAAGCATGTGGGAAGCAATGCCCTTTTGTATTTATCTGCCAGTGCCAGTGGCTCTTTTGCAAGGCCTTTCAAATGCCTACAAGTTGGCATTTTCACATTTGGGGGAGATCGGAGAGGCAATTTTGATTGATTGGAGAGATTTGTTGCAATGTATTAAATGCAGTAAAGTTCTATTTTTTTTCTTCTATTGTTTTAGGTTTGGGTTTGGCTTTCAACTTGCAACCTGCCTTGACGATGATTGGCAAATATTTTTATAAAAAGCGTCCCATTGCTAATGGACTAGCCATGGCGGGAAGTCCTGTCTTTCTAAGTACTCTGGCACCCTTGAATCAGTTTCTTTTTAATGCTTTTGGTTGGAAAGGAAGTTTCCTCATTCTTGGAGGACTTCTTTTAAATTGCTGTGTGGCTGGGTCACTTATGAGACCTGTTGGACCAAAACCTGTTCAGCCCATCAAAAAAGATGTGGAAAAAGCAACTGAAGATTCCACTTTGCACAAGAATGACAAGAAATCGGTCTGGCAAACCATCAACAAATACTTAGATTTAACCCTCTTCAAACACAGGGGATTTTTGATTTATTTGTCTGGAAATGTTATCATGTTTCTTGGCTTCTTTGCCCCAATTGTGTTCTTAGCTCCTTATGCCAAGCACAAAGGAATTGATGAATATTCGGCAGCTTTTTTACTCTCTATCCTAGCTTTTGTAGATATGTTTGCCAGGCCATCAATGGGTTTAATTGCAAACTCCAAATACATCCGGCCCAAAATCCAGTACTTCTTTAGTTTTGCTGTTTTGTACAATGGAGTCTGCCACATCCTGTGCCCATTGGCTGAAACCTATACAGGACTGGTTGTGTATGCTGTACTTTTTGGACTTGCATTTGGAATGGTTAGCAGTGTCCTTTTTGAGACATTGATGGATCTTGTTGGTGCGCCAAGATTCTCCAGTGCAGTAGGACTCGTCACAATTGTGGAGTGCTGTCCTGTCCTTTTAGGCCCACCTATGGGAGGTAAGTATGGAGATGATGAAGGTGATGATGATACAATTGACATCTTATACTATTTGTATAATAAGAATGTGTATCCAAAACATTGACCTGGTACTTTGTGCAAAGATATGCAATTACTTTCCCCATTCCATTTCATTCCAATCCTACTGCTTCCTGGATTCAATCTCTAGCCATATGCTTCTTCATTTACTCATTTTCTTTCTGTCAATATAAAATGTTACTATATTTTAGGATGTCCAATATATTTCCTGTCTTTCCAATAGATCCTACTTTCAATTAATTGCTCATTTTTGTTAAAGGAGATTCTCTTCTCTCTAACATCTGTACCTTCTTCCCTTCTTATTATTATTACTATTATTATTAGTAAGAATTATTAGCAAGAATTATTAGCAAGAATTATTTTTTTATTTGCTTGCAAAGAACTCAAGGAACATAGTTCTCCCTGGTGAGATGTGACATCTCTATCCATCTATCTTTCTAGAATTAAGACTTCTGACTTCTTTTTTGTTCCTAGGTCAGTGATGGCGAACCTTTTAGAGACCGAGTGCCCAAACTGCAACCCAAAACCCATTTATTTATCACCAGGTGCCAAGTGGGCGTGGCCCACAGTGGGCGTGGCTGTGGTCATGGCAGACTGGGTGGGTGTGGCCAAGGTGGGCGTGGTCACCTCGATGTTGCTCATGGAGAGGGATGCCTGTGGGGGCCAGGCAGGGTTTGGGGAGATCCAGGGGGTCTCTGGCAGGTGGGGCAGTGGGCAGGAGGCTCATCCTGCGGGGTTAGGCGAGGCAAGGCGAGGCAGGGCAGGGGCGGCTGCTGCCTGACACCATCAGCCCCCGCACACAGAGGCCAGCGAGCGCATGGGGGCCAACAGTGTCTGTCAACAGCCACAGCCTGCCGGCCCCTTGACCGGTGGACTCTGGGGCTCCAGAGTCCGGCACCAGAAGTTCAGAGAAGCTGCCTCTGAGCTGGACAGACGACCAATAGCTGAGGAGGCGATGCCCGGGAAAGAGGAGAGCATGCAAGGCCAAGAGGGATGGGACAGGGGGGAGGGAAACCAGCCATGCTGGGATGCATCTGGCTACGTGGGACCTCGGTGAGTTAGCAGGCAGCTGGTTGAAGAGCGTTGGTTGCCATCTCTGGGGCATGGCGCGCATGCTCACAGAGAGGGCTCCAAGTGCCGCCTCTGGCACGTGTGCCATAGGTTCGCCACCACTGTCCTAGGTTATGCATGAGTTTTGCTAAGACATTTTAAGAATACTTTTAGTATATGTGATATACTATTTATTATTTATTTACACAAGTTCACATCCAGTTCCCAAAACTCTACTATAATAATTCTAATCAGCTCTCCCCAGTCAGGTGGCTTCACATTTGTCAGTTCTCCAACTCCCAGAATTTCTAGTTACTTGTTGACTACAAAAAATAGCTATTTAATAAAACTATAGCTTTTCTAACAATGACCAGATAGTACTGACAGGTAAGAAGAGAGTTATCAGACTATGACAGGAGTGTCAAACTCAATTTCATTGAGGGCCACATCAGCATTGCGGTTGCCCTCAGGGGCCGGGTGGGTGTGGCCAGGGTGAGTGCAGCCTACTGGGTGGGCATGGATGGAGTAGGTGTGGCCTACTGGGTGGGCGTGGCCAGCTCTACATCGTTCGCGACAAGGGTGCTGTGGGGGCCTGGGCAGGAGTGGGACAGATCTGAGGGTCTCTGGCGAAGGGAGTGGGACTGGGGCAAGCACCAAGACATGATGCATTTCTTCATTCCTCACAAAGGGTGACATCTCCCCAGTATGCACCCAGGGGGTGGGGCCAATGCGGCAGGGGCTGGTTCCTTGCTGTTTCTGGATGGCCTTGTGGAGCTAAGACTGAATGCGTTTCAGCATAGATGGCCACCACAAAATTGTACATTGGCTCCCGGCCAGCCAGGGCCAAGGCAGCGGGGGCCGTTCCCTCACTGTTTCCAGGATGGCTTCGTGGGCCACATGAAACCACTTTGCGGGCCGCATCTGGCCCCCGGGCCTTGTGTTTGACATGTCTGGACTATAGGCTCTGTTTAGCATTATTCCTATAAAATTGATGGCAAACCCTTCAGAGAGTTAATGTGAAAAATAGGTTTTGTTTTTTTTTAAAGTTCATTCCTTAAATCTTTATATAAGCAGCAAGTGGGGTTGCACCCAAAAGTTCACCCCATGTAGCCTAGTTTGTCTTTTTGTCCTGTTTGCATGTATATTGTGAATGCCTGAAAATCTTTTTATATCAATGCAGTCTATAAATCTGAGCAAGTGCAACAATGTGCCTGGAATCTTGAGTGCACAGATTTCTTTTAATTCATATATTTACAGTGAGTGCACAGATGTACTCATTGGGCAAAGCATGGATTTGAGCTCTTTGGATGCCCTCCAAATCCCCATTACTTTTTAAAACACCAGATTAGATTTATGACAGACCCTTTTTAGGTGCTACTATTCTTCATTATTTTGATCCGAAGCATCTTGGAATCTTCTTCAGCTATTTTACCATTATTACATTTATGGTATATATAAAATTACTGTCAGTTGTATATAGGCAGAATCAATCTATCATGTACTTAGAAGATATCATTTTTATCACTGATACAAGGGACAGAAATTAAAATTTTAATTTACCTTGTCTGTATTTCCTTTTAATAATATAATACTTACCTAAATAAAGACTAAGCATGTTTGCATTAAAAAAAGCACTGCTAATTAATTATCAATGTTGGGGAGAGTCTCCTTTCAGTAGAATTTCATTACACAGTCCAGCTAATGGAGTTGATCCACAATGTGTACATTTAACAAGGCTCAGTCCCTCAAACATGTCAAAGCTGCTGTTTCAGACCCATTTAATTAATTGGGCTGCCAGAATTACTGAATTTCAGGTAAATGTGCTTTTTTAGACTTCTCAGTAATACTCCAAAAGTTTTACTAAAAGTTCCCAACTTCTTCTGTCATATCTTAGTGGTGGAGAACATACTATGTATAGAGAAGTCTCTTGTTCAGTCTTTGTATCTAGACAAAGCTGCAAACACTCCTGCTTGTAATTCTGGAGAGCTGCTGCTGATCACTATAGGTAATATTGTACTAAATAAATAAAAGTTAGACTAAGAATAAAGCTCTGCTTTGACTTTCTATTCCATTCTGATTGTGGCAGATAGAAGTTGAATAAAGAAATAAATCCTATAACCACATTGGCTTTTAGTGATCCTGTAACACTGAGCCATCATAATGTTGGGTTATATTTGAAGTGTTATAGTAATTCTGAACAGGCAGAATCCAACTGCAACCTTACTGTTCAGTCCCCACAAATCACAGCAGAATGACAGTGGCAACTTCCCACCCAATAGCCAGCTAATGACATACTCATCAGAATGGCAGAATGTTGTACACTACATTGTAGTAATCAGTGCTCAGTCATTGCAGGGTGCAAATATGGCTGACTGCTTTCGCAGTGTTTATTGCCTTATATACAGGTATTCAAATAGCATAAAGTAAAATGGCATCAGCATAGTAACAGCATTTCTATTGGTGAAATCATTAAGAAAATATAAGTTAGGAGGCCCAGCCAGGGAGCAGTTTCTATCACATCCTGTTGATGTAACCAGGCTGATATCAGGCAGGTGAGGTCATTGTACCAGCCTGAGGTAGTTTCCCACATTGCCATGGTGATGTGAATGGATGAGATCATGTAAAGAGAAGAGACACGCAGGCTTCGGCAGGGCAGTTTGCTGCTCACGACCTCTACCTGGCCCCTATCTCTACATTTCACTCTTTTTTGTTTTGTTAGATGAAATATTGTCGTAAGAGGGGTTAATAAAAGGATTATAATCAGGAGAGGAGCATCCTTGCAGTTGTTTATACAGGGCATAAACCTGACCCTGAGGCAATGTGGGAGAGAATTTGGGGTTAAAAGCTCTGATACATATATTGCAAAAGGAAGGAATATATTGCACAAAACAGCACCCACCAAGATCCTAAAGTATAAATTTTCAAATCAGAGACCAAATTGTGTAAAATATTAATCTGGTGCTGGATGGTTTGTGAATTATCAGAAATATTGAAACAACACATTCCCTGAAAACTTACACAACCCAAATGCTGACGCAGAAGCAAATAATCGTTAGCAGTGCGATTTTGCAAAATAGCTTTTCTCAAATCTTGCAGCTCATGGTTGATTGCTGACATAGCTGAAGAAGTAGCATTAATTGTTTTTGCTAAATTATATGCAATAGCATTAATGTTGAGGTGAGCATGAACAGCAAGTCCTGGTACACCCACTAGAGACATAGTCAGTGCCACATATTCTGCTTTATTAAGTAAGGCTGTCTCAGAGTCACAAGTGCTGTCTAGCATGACCCCACGTCGAGAACGGTTCGAGTGAACTTGTTGTTTGGAAAACAAAACAGGAATTAGCCGGCTGAAGCAACACTGCGCTTCACTAATATTTGCAGGCATATAATTAAAAGTTTCTTGACCACATGTAAAAAACCATCCTTGCAGTAGCCAAACATGTCCAAAATGAAAGGAAGTCTCTTCAAAAGCTGTGCAGTTTAAAACAGGTGAACTAATGCGACGACAGTGAGGTTTTTTACTTGAAGAAGTACAATTAACTATTTTTGCACATGTTATATTTGCAGGGATTGCTACCACCGGAGTGTGCAAAGCAATAGCGTCAGGGAGTGGATAATAAGCAGTAACCCCCCCATCTAGATATAGCCTTATAGTTAAAGTTCCCATTTAATAAAATTCTGCTCAAGCCAGTGAAGTTTTGAATTACTGCAGAAGGGGTGCAAACAAGGACTAAACATGTAGAAAGCAAATTTTCCATGTCATATGCTTCAGATAAACAAAAGACATCATTTTGTGTGATGTTTGCCAGCTGCACCCATAGATTTTGCTTCATTCGTTGCTCGAATGATTGTTTGGGTGGGATGACAGCTGCTGTTGCCAAAGGGCAGATGTTAACGATCAGACACAA